TACGTTAGCGTGTTTATACATCACTTAGGTAAATTATGCAACTCGCTTCCGCTCGTTGCACAACCTTCACCTGCGTGATGTAAAAACGCTCTTACTACTCTTGTAAAGTAAATAGCTACAAGCTGCTATACCCGTGCTTTGCAACGGGAAGAAAATGTGACCTAGAGAGCTATTAAAGTGGTGCTGATGTGTGTTTTAAAATACAGCAACTCTATGATTTAGTTTGAAAATATAAACTGATTTAAAAGCGCAAACAGCGTAAACCTACTTACTTTCAAACCCCTACTTTTGATGTTAATAGATCCCTAAGAATATGGCAACATACCTTAGCATACTTTAGCAATACCCTTCATGAATAACATGTTTAACCATAATCCTTCAATTTTAGTCAAGCCTCTTGACATGTAGCTTACTCTTAAATTAAAAAATGAAACTTTGAGCAATACTTTACAAAACGTATAGCCTACAACCTCACTAACCATCCTCAATCTACATTCACAACACCAACGTCTTTTTCGAGTAAATAAACAAACACCAGTTCATTGTACAGACCAGCTGTTTCATTAACTAAATTAAATTAAATCATTTAAACATTGAAAGCATGCCAGGCGTAGCCCTTTGGAAATCAGCCTGTGGGGCAGCGCCCTCAGGGAATTCGTTCATTTCAATACTTTTCGGCAAATCTACACACTCTAAGCTTCATTTTGATGTGCCATATGCCTATATTTTCATTTGGTAAATGACCTTAACCGTTTACATAAAATTTGATTGTATCACTTTAATAATATAATAGATTACAAACAGAAAATAACATTGCAAATACTTCTTTTGGACAGTTCAGTAACTCCTAATAAATGTGTGTTGTTTAAAATACAGTTTAAAAATTAACAGCTGTTTCATTAAAAAGTATTATCCACATGACCAAAATGTAAACAAATCCGTGGAGGGATCTTTAACGGCTTCTGGGGCAGAGCCCTAAGGGAATTTACTTAGTTTTTCTTTTGATAACTCATCTACAGACCAAAACCTTTATTTGGACACCTCTACCAAGTTTCTACGCCCAGCCGTTCTCTCGAATTAGTGGACACAAAGTTTCCAATTAAATATTTAGATTCCTCCATGTTAATCTTATGGGAGAAAACCTAACTTTGATGAATAATCCTGCCCAAACTAATAAAGATTTCAAAAATTTAAAAACACTTTGCAAAACTACAGATCAGGCCATTTTTTTTACACTTTATTCATTAAAATCGAAATTTAATCTATGCCTGGCTTGTTCTCAGCCAGGTCTTTGCCCATGAGAACGTGACTTGAACTTGAGATCTTGCGATCATCTTTACTTTTCATTTCTATGAGGGGTCAGCGAACGTTTTGTATTGTTCATGAGTTTGTAAAGAAAATGATTTAATAATTTAAATTTTTAATTTTCATATGTTTATAAGGGCATTTAACAACTGCGCAATTAATAAGTACTGTAAACCATATTACTGTAAAAGGCCGGTCTTTATAAATTATATAGTTCTAAAAGAAATTTCTATTTGACCTCTTTGTCACAAAAACATACTTCTTTGTATAATGATTGTTATGTAAATGCAGTTGTCATCGTAATTTACAATTATTGATCTGTCTAAGTGTTATTTTTTCAATAAATGTAAATATCTTGTTTGGTAAACAAAGGATGTAATTGAATCTGTAAGTTAAGACAAGTATGCGAAAACTACAGTTTTCGATTAGCTCAAGCCTAAATTATATTGTATGTAATCTAGCTTGTTATATTTCGTTATTTTGTCACGTAAAAACATTTAAATTATGTATGATGTATAAATATAAAAAAATTTAACAACAAATCCATTTGAAAGTAAAGTTTAGACATTGGTACGGTCGACATTGGTACATTATCATTGGCGAAAATGCTCATGCACATTAACATTATTGCGGCTATGTGTTTAAGTTGTAACATGGTTTAGTTTCATATAGAAATTTGAGAAAATAATTTTTATTTTATTTTTTGTTGTAATGATTTGAAATTAAAGTTTTACATTTACAATAGTCAAGAGTAGCCTGCAGTAGCAAGACTTCTTGATAAGAAAGCTCTGGAAGCTTCCTTATCACCTGGTCCAGTGCATGTGCTGGCCAGAGTAGGGGTAGAAGGTTCCAGAACTGAGATATCTTATATAAGGGAGCTGCTTCCATGTGGGGTTGTTAGTTCAAGAGTGTAGATGTACAGTGTCCAGACCTGGGGTGAATTTTCTGCAGCCTACTCAATGAGTAGTAAGTTTATTTTATTTTTTATGTTATTTTAATTCATTCACTTTTATCCCCCCCTCTCTGCTAATTATTGTAATAACAAGAAAGACCATAGATGTTTACTTATTAGATATTTAACTTTTCTTTCAATTAGTAAAAGATGTAAATATAAAATGCACCTTTTTTATTCTTTTAGAACTTATTTAATAGAGTTAAATTTGGATCTAAAAATAATAAATGCTAATTAAAGTAAAGTTTTTAAAGTTTCTAGAAAAGTTTAGCAATTGTAAATTTTATTTCATTCAGGAAGAAATTAATGTAACCTAATTTAATTTCGAAGGATTTTAATTCAATTGTTTAGCTTTTCAATTTAAAGAAGTTTGAAACATTAAAGAAATATGTATTTGTATTGTAGACAGATAAGCTAGGAACGGGTTTGTTTGTTCACAGGGCTCAAGTGTGTACCAGTGATTAATGGTTTTAAAATGTCCCATAAAAAATATTAGCCGAATGTTTTAAATTTGTTGATTTTTTATATTTAAAGAAAACTAATGGAAGTAAATAAATTTCAGTTTGATTTTGGGTTTGGTTTTGAAAGTGTTTAGAAGAAACTGTTTTATTTTAAATAAACCATGACTTTTGTAACAATGATGAATTTTTATTTTGGGTCTCCTCTTAAGGCCAATTCCACTAAATAGAAGATAATTGATCTTGGAAATAACGTTACAAAGTTGAGACACGTTTGTAGAAAACACTAAAAAGGCAATCTTCTAAACAATTTTAAAATATTTACAACTTTAATTATATAGAAATGTTCATAACACAGTAAGTAATTCCATTAGTTGCATAAGCTTTTACGTGAGTCTTTTTAATTAATTGAAAATTAAGTCTGTAATAACTCCTAAAATAGCTCCTGTAATACCGGTACTTGATAATTGCTTGATTTCTAGCAACGAGTACACAAGTTAAAAATTCAACAATGCATTAACATAACAAGCTCTCTTTCACGCCGGCAGAACTGCGGTATTGGTTTACCATACACGCCTGCAACGATGCGCTGCCAACCGCGCGACGAGTAGCTAAATGAACCGTAGAGTAAGTGAGCCTTCTAATATTTGTAGAGGGTTCACTTACTCTACAGATCATTGTGCCAATGAACTGTAGAGTAAGTGAGCCGTCTTCTATTTGTGTAATAGTTATCATGTAATTTATTTAAATTCAGTATTTTGGCTCGTATACTATACGAGCTTATTCCTGAATTATTCAAGAATTCATACGCTTGGCTCATAGGCACTATGATCTGTAGAGTAAGTGAACCCTCTTCATTTATTTGATATTTTTGATCGGCTCGTATAGTATACGAGCCTGTAGTGCAAGTGAACCTTCAATATTATTTACGAAGCTCGTATAGACTATGATTTGTAGAGTAAGTGAGCCATGTGTTTTAAGAATTACATATTTGGAGGCTCATTGTGTCAATGATTCGTAGAGTAAGTGAACCCTAACCGTACTAGCTGTAACCCGCGGGCTTTGCCCCGTTTAACTTCTTAATTTTCAAGATTATCTCGTTCGCATGGCTCAATCACGTCCTGGTTGAAGTTTGTTCGCTACGCTCACTCACCTTTAGGTTGGAGCTCGTTCGCTACGCTCACTCACCTTTAGGTTGGAGCTCGTTCGCTGCGCTCACTCACCTTTAGGTTGGAGCTCGTTCGCTGCGCTCACTTGCCTTCAGGTTAGCTCGTTCGCTACGCTAACTCGCCTCCAGGTTGAAGTTCGTTCGCTACGCTCACTCACCTTTTGGTTGCAAATTAGCTGTTGTCATAAATGTAAAAGAAATAATAGTGCTGCACCCTGTTGGTAATCCTTGTAACTTTAATGCTATTGAACATCATAGAACAGAACCAACTTGTTTAATTGAAACAGCTGTTAAGATTCAATAATTCCATTTCTCATAGGTTAACATGGGAAACTCCAGAGCCACTGGGGCGGAGCCCGAAAGGATTTTTGAAATAAGAATATGCCTATATGTTAATCGGGAATGTGAGCTATCATCATTCCAAATTTCAGCCCAATCCGACCAGTATTTTTCGAGTTTACTTTTCCCATACACACATACACACATACAGCAACCACCTCTTTTTTATAATAGTATAGATTCGATTCTATAACACGTTATAGAACACGTTATAGTTTGCCTAATAAAATATTAAATATTATTCATTACTGGGTGATATTTAATTATGTGGCTGAATTGAATTAAACTGGATTATTTTACAAATTGTGTCAAGAAATTACTACTATGTATAGAATAAAGCTTTGGTGGTACCGTACTGTATTTTAAAGATATGATTGTCCAAAAACAGTAGTAATGGGTCGATACAGTAAAAAATACGATAGTTCTTAATGCGATATTTTTCCTTATACGATAGTCGATAGAGCTGATCAATATCAACATTTTGTTCTTCTTTCGGGTGGTTTTTTAGAATCGAGTACTGTATAATTTTACGTAAATTGATTGATATTAGAACTTCATTTAGTATAATTAACCACCTTATGTAAGATTTATATGATTTTAACAATGTTTTATAGCATTAAACGCAAATATATTAACATTTAGGGTAATTTTTAGGGTAACTCAAAGTAGATTTAGGGTAATTTAGGGTAATTTTAGCCCGCCTTTAGGGTAAAATCGCAACAACGCGGTGGCAACACTGCTTCATCTTCATCTTAATCTTCCTTCCTTCAGTCTTCGTCTTCGAGTTCACGGCCGTCAGAACAGAACGAGAACATACACCGGGAGCCGGGATAATCAGGAGGATAAGTTATTAGTAACTTTTATAGTAGGCTTAATATAATATGGATTCGCTAAGTGGTTTAGGATCGTTATCCAGTGCACAGAAAGATGAGTTAATGGAACAAGTTAAACTACAAATTGCTGTAGCAAATGCTCAGGAGTTGTTAACAGTGAGTGTGATCAAACCTAACCTAAAATAGGCCTAAGCCTATAGATGCCTATAGCCTCTAGCATGATTATTGCACAAACCAGTCACTAGGCCTATGCCAGTAAGAACCATAAGTTACATTGTTTCTATGCAACTATAAGTTCCTATTAGCTGTCTTGGTAGCATAAAGACACTTTTTTTTTAGGGAGAGGTGGGAAAATGCATTTATGCACACAGGTGGCTAGCCTGTAGTGTGGGACTCCAACGGGCTTAAGACCCAGAGACTACCCACTAAAAACCTCCTCTACTCTTCGGATACTAGCCTGGGAACACTTGTCGCACTTCATCAGAACTAGGCCGAGTTTGCCTACGCCCGAGGGGCTTACGCCGTGTCTAGCTGTTTATTTCTTATCAAATCTAGACTATGTTCCGATCTAGATCGTTCTTTTTAGCTTGAAGGACATTCCGGACAAAGTGCGACCAGCAGTCCCAGTTGTCCTCACCCTTCAGCAAGGTCTCACAGATCGATTCAATCGACAGCACCCCAAGATGTTGAATGGCCTCCTGGCGAAGCATATCCCATTGTGGGCAGCGGAAAAAAGTGTGTTCCGCGTCGTCGGGAATGCATGGGCAGTAAATGCAGTCAGGTGAATTCGTTTTGGCCATCAAGTGCAGGTACGACTGAAAATAGCCGTGACCTGACAAGAACTGCGTGAGGTAATAGTCAACCTCACCGTGCCGCCGTTCCACCCACGGTTGGACCTGCCTGATGAGTCTGGCAGTCCAACGTCCTCGAGTCTCCCTTTCCCAGCTTTCTTGCCACATCTGAAAAGTGCGGGAGCGCTTTTCTGTTCTTGCAGCGTCCTTTCCGATGTAGCCTTGTCTCTGGTAGATTGCCTTCATCTCCACTGCCAAGAGTTTGACTGGGATAACTCCAGCGATCACCAAAACGGCCGGTTCGGACACCGTACGGTACGCGGAAGCGACCCTGAGTGCCGCCTGACGCTGCACTCGTGCGAGCCTCAACCTATACGCCTCCTTGTTTAGCGCGTCTGCCCACACCTCAGAGCCGTAGAGAAGCACGGACTGGACTGCAGACATTAGTAGTCTTCTACGGCTGGACCGGGGACCACCGACATTGGCCATAAGCCTACTAAGAGCAGCGACACTCCTAGCAGCCTTGTCCACCGTACGGAAGATCTGGTCCCTCCAGCTCAACTTGTTGTCCACCATGACACCAAGGTACTTGGCGGTTCGCGTGGTTTGGACAACTACGTTCCCAACTCGTAGCGGAACGATGGTTTCAATACGTTTTTTCGTGAGGATGACGATCTCTGTCTTGCTCAGAGCGAGTGTCAGACCATGATCAGTCATCCAGGCGTTTACAAAGCGCATGACTTGGTTCAGTTCCAGTTGGGCTAGCTCAACGTTGCGTGCAGCAATGAGGGCTGCGACGTCATCGGCATACCCAACTAAAACGGTCTCCTCTGGCATCTCAGATCTCAGAAGGCTGTCGTAGGCAGCGTTCCACAAATCTGGGCCGAGTATCGAACCTTGCGCGGCACCGGAAGTAACATCCATCGTCCGTGAACCATCTTTAGTTTCGTAATTAAGAGTTCTGCAGCGCAGGTAGTCCTCGATCAGCCTCAACAGATATGCTGGTACGCGGAAGCTGTTCCTCAACGCGCTCAACATATCGACCCATCTCTCCGAGTTAAAAGCATTCTTGACATCTAGCGTAACAAGAAGCACGATACGGCGAGAGTAATGATTGAAGCTCTCGGCACGCTCTACCGCTCTGTGTACCTCGGATATCGCGTCGATTGTTGACCGACCCTTTCTGAAGCCGTACTGACGAGGAGACAAATCTCCGGCAGCTTCCACGGCAGACGTCAGGCGGCAGCGGATCAGTTTCTCGAAGAGTTTTCCGGCCACATCCAACATACAGAGGGGTCTGTAAGACGACGGCATATTCGGGTCACCTTTCCCCTTGCTGATTAGCACAAGCCTAGCCCTTTTCCAAGGAGTTGAGAAAACCCCTTCGCACAGGCATGTGTTGTGCATTCTCAGCAGTAAGAGGGGGTTAACTGAGAATACCTTCTTGAGAGCCTCACTGGGAATACCATCAGGACCAGGTGCTTTTCTATTTTTCAGGGAGAGGACAGATGATTCCAGCTCTTTAATGCTAAAGAGTGGAATGTCCCCTACCTCACCATAGTCGAAAAAAGGCCGCCGAGGATGAGACGGAAAAAGGGCGGTGACGATCCTGTCCATGGTGGTGTCCTCCATGACGGAAGGTGGTGATCGGGCGCCGAGTTTCTGGGTTACAACCTTGTAGCCCAGTCCCCAAGGATCAGAGTCAACATCTTCCTGAAGCCTCCTCCAACAGCTAACCTTGCTTTTGATGATAGCCCGACGAAGAGCTTTCCTCGCAGCCCTATAAGCCGCTGACTTAGCCTTGAAATCCGGGAATCTTCTGGCCCTCATAGCGGCACGTCTGGCTTTCAGACAAGCTTTCCGAAGGTTCGAGATCTCTAGTAAAAATGATATCTCATAGAAAATGATATCTATGCTACAGCCCCAGCATGTTAAACTATATTTTTATCAACTCTATGATTTATATAATAATAATTTTCAAATGTATTTAAATTGAAAATTGTTTTGTTATTTTTTATGCTATGGTTTCCGACTATAAACTTCACTTACATTTTTTTACCACTAAATGTGACCTAATGATGCCATATAATTATAGAATAATCAATATTCATAAAATAGAGTTCGTTGGGTGTCTAATCCAAGGATTTATAATGGTGTTTCCTACATTTTCCAATAGGTAAAAGAAAATGATGAATTTTGAGCACGCTCTAGCGTCAGTTTGGAACATCGTAGAAATAAAGTTATTATACGTATATTGTAGGGAATTTAGTGTACTTTAATTTAGTAAATGACAGATATTGCAAAAAAATACTCCGTTTGTGAGTTATACGCAAAAAAGTAAAATAAGTACAGTATTTTATTAGTTTTTTGCGATTTCCTAAGTTAGCTCACCTCTGGCGAGGTGGCAAAGTTTAAAATCGGATTCAGCGCCAAAAAATACATAAGAAACCACTGAGAAAAAAACTTCGGGAATTTTTTCCTGAAAACATCATCTTTTTTCCTCATATGGTTGGACTAAAACTACAAAAATATAAGTGACAGCCTACAAGATGGTAAGGAGCAAAACAAGTTAAAAATATGACAGTTAAATAAAGTCTTCCCCAATAACAGTATAAATTGTAACAAAGATAAAGTTATAAATTAAAAAAAAATATGTGGTGGTATAGACTTTGTAATGAAAGACAAAAGGAATGGACTACATAATCATTTTTCTAATCCTTCGCTTGAATGAGGCAACACCATCCAGGAAGAAGTCAGCACAATCAGACACACCGTTTCCTGGCTGTTGCATGCGCGCCACAGACCCTTGCCTCGTAGTTTGTGCGGTGATGCAGTCTCACAAAGAGGTCTCTTGAGCGGGTGCACGAAAGGAGTTTTGAGCTATATCTGACATAGAATTTCAGGACAGTCAATGGTACTATTTAGTATTTTACGAAGAAATGTCAGATCATCGATAGTCCTACGATCCTCCAGAGGCTGCAGGCCAAGCTCCCCAGATAGGTCTTCAACTGGAACCCGGTGATATTGGATCCCACTTCTTCACTTTAGATACAAGAAAATTAAAGAAAAGGAAGAGAACAGAAGGAGCTCAAAATGAAGACATAGGTTTAAGCATTGACTAAGGAAACAAAAGCAGACAGCCAACGGTCGTTGCGCTTGACTTAGTTCATGATGCGGATATCAGGCAGTGCCACTGTCGATGATGCGAAAGATCTTCTTTACCGACGCGAGTACGGCGAACGGTGTTCCCCTACTATATTACTTACATTTTTAGAATGAAATTTACATATTTATTATCTGCAAACGTTACAAAACACGGCAGTCTAAAAATCGTAAACATTTAATTTGTATACATTTTACATGGTTATACAAGACATGAAAATAAGTACATGAAATTCTAGTGAATTCATGAAGACATAGACGTAAATGAGCGTGAAATTAGGTTTTATATTAAGGATAGAACAAAATTATTTTTGAAATAAATGTAGATAAAAGGCTATTTTAATACCCTAAAACAAAAAATGTTTCCTCCTATTAACTGGGATAAAATGTCTAATTCCACTTAGTAAAAAGCAAGCGTGCCCTAGCAATGTAAAATTACGGTTTTAATCATTATACTGTAGTTTGCAATTGTGGCTGTTGTTGTATTGGTAATTAGGCCTAAAGCTTTGTTCGATAACTCAACACCTGACATTTGTTTAACTCATGATTTTTTTATTTATTTACTCAATAAACTCATGTTAGTTTCGAAACTATATGTTAGGTATTCCTTTGAACACAAAATACAAGAACCATACTGTTGAGTTTATTTTCAAAGATTTAATTGAATATGTTTGTAAATAAATGACTCTAAATCTGAGAAAAATATATATATCTAATAATATTTGACAAAATAACAAAAAGTGTGACAGTTATAAAGGGTGCGCCAAAAATACCTGACGGTTTTTGTTTTGTGATAAGTCAGTTGTTATACAAGCTAGAGACCTCGTTGTTGTAGTGAACGATTGCTTACGTTATGCCGTTTTTAGGTTATGTTTGGTGAAACATCACTTCGTCGAAAGAAAGTTACTGTCTAGTGTGGTGTGGCACGGTTTGGAGTCATCGGACCATATGTTTTTGAGGATGAAAGTGAGAACACCCCCTATCACTGTAAACTCGGAACGTTATGTGGAAATACTGAGGGGGTTTTGGTTCCGCAACTATGAATGTTAGGAGAGATACCATGACCAACACATGGTTTCAACAGGACGGCACAACTTGTCATACAACCAATTATTCAATGACAGTTTTGCGTGAACTCTTTCCCGGTAAAGTGATCTCTTGGTTTGGTGATGTGCTGTGGTCAGCTTGATCCCCAGACTTAAT